CAGGGGTCGAAAAAAACCGTGCCCAAGGCAACGTCTTAGGGTTGTGTCAGCCACTTTTGGATTCTCTGGGGATCCAGGCCCGACTGGAATTAGGCCCGCCTCATGGCATCTCACTGTTTCCACCGTTTTCCCTTGTCCGTCCTTCCTACAGCCCCAAAGCCTCCAAAGGTTCGACACTATTATAAGCCTGCGGCGAAGTTGGCCGGCTGGAAGTGACGGTCAGGGCTTTTGTGCTGAAGCGGACTTTCCCGTGGGCTCAACATGCACTGGCATCTGATGTAGTGTGGCTCCGCACCTGGGGATTCGTACTTTCAAATTCATTCGTAGCGTTCTGTTTGGGGCTTCGAGGAGGCAGAGGTGGGCTCAGACTTTTGGGTCTAGGGGTTCAATACGGATGCTACGGTTTACAGCCTGGTATTCACAGCTTGGGTTTGGATTTGAGTGTGAGTGGGCGGAGGTGCCTTGAGGTAATGGGGGAACTGCATGAGCCGAGCCTGGGATTGCCACGTGTTTCCTTGACGAACGTCGACTAAAGACTCTGCTGTCGGCCCGGGAAAGGCACTGCTGCATGTTGTGCAATGAGTTGCTTCTCCTGCTTCGGGGTGGTGGCCTTGCGGTTTGGGGCCGCTGGGCCTTGGATAATTTAGAGGCACAAAGGAGCTGTTAAAGATACACTTCGCGCAAAAGATTGACGTCAGGTGCAACGGACCGCATCCTACACTACCCAGCTTTTATTTTGGCTTAGAGTATTTTGCTTTGTGTGTGGTGGCTTGCACCCGTGAGTCTGACTCTGTCTCTGTGTGTGTGTGGGAAACCCAAAATCCAACGGGAGTGAGCGCAGAACCTTTCGCAGGGGTCCCAGGTCTGTTACTCATGCTGGGACCAAGGAAGACCATGAGTAGCAAACGTGCAAACGTACCTGCTAAGAGGAGTACCAACGGGGACGGAACCCATATCCCTGTAACGTGTTACATGTTACTGTCACCATTGCACTTCGCAGACAGCAACATATGCCGTTGTGTCTGGCACGACGACGACGACGCAGAGGGACAGGACCCTAATCCCTCAACACATTCCATTCCTTGGGTCTGGAATGAGGGACCGAAACCTATCCCATGTTTGGCCAAGAACCTAGCCCATGACGACGACTCTGCTTTCCTAGTAAGCAGCAGCAAGGTATCCATGAGCCTATTGAGGGACCTCCCACAAGACTTTGCTTGATTGAATTCTCAGATGAGACTTTGAGCTCACCTCTGAGTTGAAATCACTGTTGAGAGTGTGCACTAGGGTCTGCCTGGAGTTCAAGTGTGCGCGCGCGCGGGTGTGCGTGCGTGTGTGAGTGAGTGAGTGTGTGTGTGTGTGTGTATATGTTGTGCGTGTTTGGCACGCCGTAGAATTGAAAGTATGCATCCAGCTGTTGAGCATGTGGCGCAAAGGCTCGAAATCGAATTGAAGCTCGTGCTTCAGGAAACTCGGGCCCAAGACCCGGATGTCGCAGAGAATGTTAAGAGCACACTTGAGCCCCAAGATCGAGTTTTTTCTTCGACCCACATCAGCATGGTGTTTTGTGGGAATGGCAGTCTTACGAGCCCTTTAGGTTTCCATCCTGGCGCAGATAACTGGCATCGAAACTACAAGCACCACGATGGGAGGATGTGCACCATGCCCGCCGGGAGATAAGTATCAAGATACTCCATGTTGTTGCACAGCACTGCATTGACCCCGCATCAGCTCGAGACCATCCCACCAAGCCTTATTCCTGATCCCGAAGAGTAGTTTGTCGCCAAGGTATCCGATAACATAATTCCCCATCAAGGCTACGCCCACTCCCAAATCAGGCCAGTGTTGATCTTGAAGGCACCAAGAAATTCCCTTTGAATCCAAGTCACCACTCTTGAATTGCTTGATGGCTGGGAGTCAATCCATCTTTGGCACTGAACTTCTTGCATCAGCGTTTGGCTCTAGCGAGCCTGTAGACCATGTGTGCTGAACATCTCGCAGAATGCAGGGAGGGGTGCGCTGCTCAGAAGCTGTGGGGTTCGAGTCGACGGACCCGAGTCTTCAGTGGGCCCCAACCTGCGGCAGGAAACGTGATATCGCTGTTGCTCATGTTCATCCGCAGATACATGTTTATTTGCTTTGTTGCATTATCATCATCATCATCATCAGTAGTGTTGCCGTCATCTTCATTGTTATTTCCTCCACTAGGACCACCACGGTCATTACCATCTGCAACAACAGCATGAAGATTGCCATCCTCATAACAAAAGCCAGAACAAGACAGTTGCCCGCATCATGTGATCATCATCACCATTTCCATCACCATCATCAGCAGCAGCAGCAGCATCATCGGCATCATCGTCGTCATCATCCTCATCATCGTCATCATCATCGTATACATCATCAACTTCATTATGGCCTTCACGGCCACTATCAGCACAGCGCCATTGCAGTTATGATATGCATTACCATCGTCATGATGCTGCTGTTGATCACGGAAATAACGGTGATGGTATCATCATCTGCATCATCATCATCATCATCATCATCGTCATCGTCGTCATCACCATATTCTTCGTTGCTTCCTAGTCATGCACGAAGTACTGTCCATCTTCTTCTTGTCCGTCATCACCACTGCAATCAAAGATGTGATCCATGTTGATGAGATACATCTTTATAGCCATGATTCTGCTCCTGCCGCCGCGACTTCTGCACAGTTGTTTCGTTGGAGTAGTGCACGTAAGGCACGTAAGTGTTTCTGCAATATGCCAGTGAAGACCTCAAGCAGCGAAGGAGCATCCACTGTCGCACTGTGTTTGATGGCCCTCTATGTAGTGCGTTCTTTCCGTTGCCTAATCTGGATGTGTATGATTTTTGTTTTGCATTTTCCTGTCTGATAATGGTCGCTCACTGAGTAGGGGATAGCAAGAGGAGGTCCAAGCCTGGGATCAAGCCGGATTCCAAAACGAGCACCACACGAAGGACACCGGCTTCGGGAAACTTGAAGGCGGTCGCGGGAGTCGCTCACAGAATATGCACGGCACTGTGCGGAAATGCGCAGGACTGCGGTGGTAATGCAAAAACTGCGCGAAACTGCGGCGGATTGCAGCACCAGCACGAGCAAGGATTAAAAAAACCTGGTAACTGCCAAAACCATTCAGAACCACAGGGACAAGTCGCGAGGGCTCCTTGATGCAAAGGGAAAAGACAAATACGCTCGACTGCTCAACCCAACCATTCCTTTTTGCCCGCCGAGGCGCCCTTTGGCGCCGCGGCGCCGGCCTTGCCCTGTGGGGCACTTCCTGGGCCGAGGCTGCAAGACTCGGTTTTGCGCAGGAGGTTTCATTAAATTAATGCGTTCACCCGAAAAAGCGTGTCTTCCAGAAGCTTGTAGCTGAAAAGGGTTAGGTGGCAGGGACAAGCATAAGAAAATCTTGAAGAAGTCTGGCATTACGATTCTCGGAGTTGATTTATTTCTCAAGTGGAGTTGTGCTTCCTGGGAGACGCAGGCAGCAGCTGCTTTCCGCGGAAGCCATTGCGATGCATCAGCAGATGGCAGAGAACTTCCAGCATCTTGTCGAAACGCAGTCTTATGCACGTCTCGAGTCTTTGAAGGCCATTTCTGTGTGATGCAGATTTCATGGACCAGGATTTGCGGTGCAGAGCGGCTGAACACGTGATTCGAATGGTCGATCGGGGGCGTGGGTTCGCCCTACATTTTTCGGCAACGCATGATCGAAGGTTTATAGTGCATTCTACTTCAGAGTGTGTGGCTGTCTTTAATGAATCTGTAGGAGGAGTGTCGTTAGATATGAAGCTATTAAACATTGCCGCACGCCTGATCTCCGAGACGGCGATAATTACCAAGCTGAAAAGCCGGCAGGCTCGCGCCCACGGATGAACATTTACACCCAACATCCAGGAAATTGGCTCGCGCAGCTGTACAAACTGGACGGCATTTCAAGCAGAATGTAAGTGTTGCACATGGCAGCAGAATAGTCACAGCAACAGTTCACACCAATGAGAAGTGCCCAAACACATGCAACAAATTAAGGACGCAAGCGAGACTATCGCCACCTCCAGCACAATCAACCGTCACTGCCGCCGCCACCAACACCCTCACCACAGCACGACAAGCAGCACCACCAGCACAACAGCCACCGACGGCAGTGTCGCCCTCTCGCTCCCCTCGCCATGGGTGCGGAAATGGAAATCACCACCGTCAGTAACATCATCAATCATCAGCGCCCACCATCCCTGCCGAAGTCACACAAAGCAAGACACACAGGCACAGAAAGAAACAAGAAAGAACTTGAAGGATCCCAAAAGGAAAAGCACGTCACCGATGCTGCAGTCCGAGAAACCCGCAATCCCTCAATTGAAGTGCCACCCAAAAAGGAAAATCATATGGCACCTCTCCAAGCCTGCGGGCCGCAGTTCCGTCCACCTGAGTCTTCAGATCAATACTGAATTTATTTGCACGTCTGGAGCCTCACAATCCAAGCACACGTCGACGGTCCACTACTGAGCTCTACAAACCTGAACGCCTGGCTGTGCGAAGATCCATTTTTAAAAACACTCTTGTTATTACTGTTTAACAACAACCACCGACCATCAAAAGCGCACGCAGCTTGACACGTCCACAGAGGGAGAGGGAGAGAGAGAGAGGATAGAGAGAGCCAGATCGAGAGAGGGAGAGAGAACGAGGCAGACAGAGAGAGAGAGAGAGCTATCAATCAGCGAGTGGGGAAGAATATAGATAGATAGATAGGTAGATAGATAGATAGATAGATAAATAGAGATAGATAAGTAGATAGATAGAAAGATGGAAAGAAAGATAGGTAGATAGATGGATAGATGGAAAGATGGAAAGATGGATAGGTAGGTAGATAGATAGATTGATTGATATTCTCTCTCTCGATGGATATATATATATATATATACATATGTATATGTATTTATACATATAACAATCATATAACATATATATATATACACACATACATATGTTTATGTATATATGACCATGCTACTCGTCCCTCTCAACCCCACAATGTCTTATGTTGGGAATAATTTGCTGCAGGATTCGTATATGTTCCTTTCTCCGTTCATGTCTCACAGCCAAGATAAGTATGGCTGTTGGCCGCTCTTCTAAACAAGGTTGGTGCAGGATGAGGAATATTCAATCAACGGAGAAGTAATATTGTTTACATCTGATTACCAATAACTGGTAACACGGTAGTTACCCTGTGTCACAGTATTTTGGATATGGTGTGTTAGGAGTACTTGTTTGAATCTTCGCCTGATACTTCATTTCCGCTTAGTACTGAGTTTTGCAATTATAAGAATACGAACTTCTAATTCGGGTTCGTTCTCAGCGAACAAGCATGTGTAAACTAGCAACTACCTGATACGCATACAACATTCGATGTTGACAGAGAGCATTCCGATGTTTCTTGTTTAGAATAAAAACCCACTGATACGAAGTATTATTATACTATATTTATTTACAAATCAGTTCAATATTTTGCAGCTAACATGTAATGTCCGTTTGGTGCAATATTATTTAATGTTTATCTTGCCTGTGTTTCCGTGATGTTTACCCAAAGTGTAAGCAAGGCTCTTAGATCTTTCGGTTGGAACATGAGTGGAATTGCTACCTGTTGCTTGGCACGGCTAGCTTGAAGCGTTACTTTGAGCCTTCCTTGGTTCCTCGGCAGGCATTTGCATGTTGGACGCAAAACCAGTTCATACACGATTCAAATTTTTGGCTACGCCCAACATGTTCTGGTTTCGCCTGTGCTATTGTTCCTGCTCAACCAAATAGACGGTAGTCGCCCTGTAGTCAGCTCTTGAAAAATAGCAAAGTGCTTAACTACTACGCTTGCATCATTATATACCTAACTAGCTTTTGCTGCAATGATCTATGGCCAGTGCTCATCATTGGGTGACTGTTTTTGAAAAGCGCTTGAGGCCCACAACCCAATTAGTTGTAGTTGAACTCGTATTAGCCACATTTTAATGGAACATAAAGCGTGTTGACATACTATCCACGCAAACACACATTGTCCGGATAAGAATGCTGAGTGCTGCTCATACGTTCGCCCGAATGCGAACCAATATTACATACTGAAAATGGCATAACGCAATATGTTATCTGAGAACTAAGTGGTCATGAATATGATGTGGATGCTGTAGATTTCGTTACTTGGGCCGTATTTAGTTTGCAGTTTGCAGTTTTAACTGCAGGAAACATGGTTAAACCAAACAAGCTGTACTGAGAATGTGTTGCAAATGCTGTTTGAGCGGATAGATGTGGATAGTCAAGACATGGCAGGTAAGTATGACAAGCAACTGCATAGGACATGAAGTTTTTTCCGGTTATTTCCTATGCATACCATGTATATCTGCTACGATCATGAGAACCAGACCCTCCAATTCCCTCAAATCTCTTGCGCAACAGGTTTCGGACAAAATGTACATTATGCACATGGACATACTGGCCATGTCATACTCTTACAGCAGCTACAACGGGACGGTGTTTGCCTAGGTTGGCCAAGTTGTAAACTTCTCGCCCTAAGCTTTATAAAAATCTGGAGAACTTGACAGTTTCCAAAACTTCCGACCTCCAAACGCTCGAGAATTTCAAACTTCCAAATTCCCAAAACTTCCAAAAATCCAACATGCCCAAAAGAAGTGAGCTCTTATCTCGTCAGACACATTTAGAATATTGGAGTGGGAACTTTTGGTAATTTCGGGAGTTGTGACATTGTTTTGAAGTTTCTGCATGTTTCGATCTGTTGAATATTTTGGACATGTTGGAAAGCCCCCCAAACCCAAATACCCCCATGAAACCCCCAAAACCCCCAAAATCAACAATCTCCAAACCACCCGAGCAAAAACAAATCAAAGTCAGTTCACATGCAGGAACTTTTTGATTTTCGCGATTTTCGAGAGTTTGGATTTGTCGGAAATTTTTGGAAATCCTGGAATCTTTTGGATTTAAGGAAAGGGTGTGGAGATTTTGAGGGTAACATATATATATATATATATGCCCATATATATATATATATACACACACACACACACACACACCGTCCCACACACACACACACACGAAGAATCAGGACACACTTTCGAACTGCGCTCTGCTGAGCCCAGGATCGGTGGCTTCTCGGCACCGGAACAGGGATCTCTGGTGTCTCGGCATGTCTCGGCTTCCGAAACAGGTTTTGGATGCGTGGGATCTGGGGCTCCAGGTCGGAGCTTGTGGCTGTGTCTCTGTGGATATGGCCCGACAGCATCGCTTTGCGGCCTATGGGTCATCACTAAAGGAACAGTGCAGCGCCGAATACCTCCATCATGACGCTTCCCCAAGATCCGAAGCAGCCTTTTCAAGCATAGAAGCTGATGAGATCCGCAAAATCTCGAAGGCCGCTGGTGGCAGTCAGTGGAATGGCGTAGCGCAGCCCATTCCATACCAGCAGCCCGGTCCCCGGAAAATGTTCGGAGGTTCGTGGATAAGTTTCCTCTGGCCGTGAAGACATTGTGTAAGTTTGTGTGTGGAAGAAGTTTCTCGGGAGATGACTGATTGAAGGTCGCGAGGTCTCCTCTGAAAACACCGAAAGCCCGCCTTGAACTTTTGAGACCCGAAGATTCCTTGATGCTGCAGATCCACCGCCTCGAGGCAATATGCACAGCAGCCGGTGCCGTCCGCGGCAGCAGGTTTCGTAGGCCACGAACCGAGACGGACTCAAGTTGGTCGTGGTTGGTCTTTTCAGGACATGGCTTTTGGTTTCTTGATGGGGCTGCCGAGCCGAGTATCTAGAGCTTGGCATGAGGTCGTGTGAACGACGTACATCGCGATCTTTAGAGCTCAGTTGTCCGAGTCGTTCAGCTTTCTAAACCCCAAAGCCCCAGACGCGGAGCTTCCCGGATACGTGAACCGTGTCTTGGTTTATTGCATGTCCAAGTTGAGTGTTCGCATGTTCATATGAATGTTTGTATATACGCTTGCATGCATGTGTACGTTTTCTTGTTTATACTTGGGTGTAGGTATATGCATATGTACATGTATACATTATACAGTGTGAATGAGATGTAGGGTATGTAGAATATGTGTATTACGCACATTATGAATGTTATGTATGATGTATAGTTTGCATAGTCGTAGCATGGACCGTATGGGTACCTGGGAAAATATATGCGTGCGCACACACACACACACACGCGTACATGCACATATAACATGTGTGTAGATCTGCAAACAGAAGGTTAAGTTGAGCAAGCAAGCATCACAAAGACGAACGAAACTCCAAAATACTCCTCATGCACAAATGCAGGCCCCAGGATAGACCCTCCTCTATGTACATATATATATATATATGTAAGGGTGTGTATGTGTATATGTCATTATATATATATATCTTTATTCATTTGGTTATGTTCAGAGATGTGCATCGACATATAAATACATCTATAGATGTGCATAATATATCTAAATTTATATATATATATATGTGTGTATATAGCAACATTTTCTACGCGCACACACACACGCACACGTACATGCACTCATAAATAAATATAGACATACATATATATATATATATATGTATAAATACACATAAAAATATATTATATTTATATTTGTTTATAGACATTTGCACATACATATGTATACACGTATGCATACATGTAAATACACCTTATTGTACATGTACACTTATAATTATATATATATATATACATACATGTATCTAAACGAACTTAGATATGTATAGATGTATACATTCATACATGCATATATACATATGTACATATGTAATGTACATGTATACACATGCAAATAATTCAGATATACAGACTTAGAGAGACATACAGATATACATGTGCATTTCAACATATACACATACATATTTACGTATACATATATATTTATACATATATGTATATATATATATATATTTATTTATACCGATCGAGATAGGCAGATAGATAGAAAGATACATACATACATGCATGCATGCATACATACATACATACATACTTACATACATACGTAACTACGTATGTACATATGTACATACACACACACACACACATGCGCACGCACATGCAGATTAGCGCTCGAAAAACACCAAGGCTTGACGTCACCGGCGCCTTTCACCTCACCGGCGCCCTACACGCAGCCGCCAGTGCTGAGCCAAGGCTCGGCAAGTCGAAGCCTCCCATTACGAGCGGCTGGGATTCTGGCTGTTTAGCTTGAAAAACCATTCTTTCCGACTTCAGGTTGCGAGTCACTTGAAGGGATGCGACACGCTCTCAGAACTGTGAGAAGCTTGCAGGGTAGGCCGAGGCACGCCTCTCCTTTCAATCCAACAGCAATCGAAAACCCTGAGCACAAAAAGCCCATGTTCAAGCTCGAAGATGTGGCGCAGGGCCTTTCACCTTCCACGCTGCCGGCCCCAGCCGGCCTGCTCAGACGCAGGCGCCACGTTTGGGCCATGGGGAGTATCTGACTTCAGGCTTGGTCTTGGAAGTGTGGCCCTAACATTTTGGGACTTGTTGGAATTGAGCTTCATGGCAAGGTTCGATCTGGTGCACATGCAGGCCACGATCGACCAACTTATTCTGCACAGCTAGGGCTAGAGCTAGCTCCACAGCCCGAGCTAGGACACGCAATTCTCCACGTTCCACTGTGTTTAAATTACAACACATTTGCCACTTACCTATGCCCTTCAAGGTCCTTAGAGTAGCAGTTCGGGTTGACTACAGGTTCCTGCAGGCCTGCCTGCTTACAGGCTGACACATCAAACCCGACATGAGATGCCTGGTGACCCAGAATTTGTCCAGGTCTCTACCCTGTCTTCCGCGGCGGGTTCCTCCGCCTCGCTAGATGCCACTCGGAAGACCTTGGCTTTGATACTGCCCACTAAGCCACCAGACCCTCAGCTCCCGAAGCCTCATTTAAACTTTCCACAAGAGCCTCAAAGCCGTTTGGCATCGCGAATACCACAACAAGTTCCTTCCTGAACATTAGGTTCCCAAACAGCTAAAACAGCTAGACAGACCTTCTTCTACCCCTTTACTGTTGCTGCCGCTGCTGCTGCTCATGCCCTTTCGTGGAGCTCGAGGTAGTTCTTTCCAGGAAATGGTGTAGCTTTGACATTGCTGGTTTTGAAGTCCAATATCGCGCCGGGATGTCAACGAAGCAGCATCGCACTTCTGAGATTCAAGAAGTGAGCATCACCACCACTATTGCCACAGTCGCGTTCATCTTCATCCTAGCAATATCGCATGCGACATTGCACCGCTCAAAACCCTCCCTCGGACCCTAACCCTAACCGCCCTCTTCCAAGCCCAGCTCCAAGGTGAGCAGTGGCCTGATACCACACATGCCCGGCTTCTGAGCTTGGGGTTTGAGGGGTCGGGGTGGCAACAAGAGTTTTCAGACTCAAGATGTAGTTTTTCAAGGTTCGGCGAGAGGCCGTCCTTTAAAAGTTTTGGCTTGAAGGTGGTCCTCTGGTCCCCCGGTCCACTGGTCCCGTGCTTCCCCGGTCCCGTGGTCTCCTGGTCATCTGGTTTCTTGGGCTTCTTCGGTCCCGCGGTTTTCCAACTTTCTGCTACGTCTTTTTTGGTGACCCTCTGGTTTCTCTGGCCTCCTGATCTTTGCGTCTGTTGGTCGCCTGGTCACCCGATCCGTGTTCCTTGGTCTTCTGGTTCTCAAGTCCTGTAGTCCTCTGGTCCCCTGATGCCCTGGTCCTCTGGTCATCTCGTGCCTTGGTCCTCTGGTCATGATGCTAGCTTGATGCTGTCTCTCGCGAGAGAGCTTGATTACTGAAACATCTCCATGTAGGGGCGGGGGGAATCACAACCCAAGCCCTTCTTACGGGTTGTTGATTTTGCCGTTTGGTGCTGCCACGGTCGGGTTTTCGAGTTCTTGTAGTTTCGGTGCTCCTCCCATAACGCGTCGCAGAGACTCCTCACGATTCCCTGAGTTCGGACTCCCTGCATGAATGACTCGCACAAGACATGTGCAAACACCGAGCGCTGTGCTCAGGCCATCGACCATGACGTTCACGTCCACTGCACCAGCAAGCCGCTCAAAACCGTTGACAATCAAGAACTGGGCAAGGGTTTGCGCTTCAGAGCTGCAGCCCCAACGACATCTAAATCTGTTGCTGGCAAAGTCTGAGCAAAGGGCAATAAATGAGCTCAAGCAGCCCAAACCCCAAGTCCTGACCTGCGGTTCTGCTGAGATCACTGGATTCAGGCCGCAGATAGGTCGTCGCGGCGGTCGACACTGTGCAAACAGGCACATCGACATCTAAGCTGCTTTATACATCGGAATAGACGGAATAGAGCGTCAGCGTGACACAAGGGTGCAGGTATGTACCGTATAAGGACCTAACCGAATGGCAAGCGCTGAGGTCAAGATCCTGCACCACGGCCTTGATCTAGACTACCAGAAATAAGCAAGCGACCTTAGCTGCAGCCTTCTTGGACCGTCGTCGAGATTTCTCCAGGATGCCAGGCTGTACAGGGGACATGTTAGGCCATCTGTAAGAATTGAATGAGGAAACACCTGCTCAAAATTCCCGGAGCCTCTACGCAAAGTCTCATCAACAGCAACAACATTCATGCGAAAAAGCATCTGCACACCGACGGTGCACTCCTCGTGTTCGCACACAGACAAGAGCAAACAGCGACAGAGCAGAGAGAGGGTGATACGCGTGTCTGAACGTACATGAAGATGTATGCATGTGGTGTGTGCGTGTGCGTTTGTGTGTGTGTGTGGTGTGGTGTGTGTCTGTGGTGTGGTGCGTGTGTGTGTGTGTGTGTCTGTGTCTGTGTCTGTCTCTGTGTCTCTGTGTGTCT